TAGGAGTAACATATTACATCAAAATGACATGATAATTCGGATAATTTTCAGTGGATACACAACAAAAATTTTTATGCTATCATTTTAATTGTTAGTTACTGTTGAAATAGTGACTAAAAATAACATTTTTAAAAATTACAAACTGTATTTTTGTATTTAAAGAAGACAATTTATTCAATTTTAATTTGTTTTTGCAGAATTTAGTCTAATTGAAGATAATAATTGTATAACCATGTAGAGCACGATTTACATTTAAAATAGTTGTTCGAATCTATCGTGTAAGAATCAAAATTAAGGCAAAATCAACTTGCAATAATTGAAATATGAAGATATTAAATACCTGAGAAAAAACAAAATTCCGAAATAAAACGAGGTTTATTTTTTTCTATTTATATTTCTAATTAGAGAAATCTCTTTCACTTTTCTTAGATACATTAGTCCTGATCTCTTGCCACTATAACGCATTACAGCCCGCTAAGACGTAAAGTCGTAAAGTTACAAGATCAAGTTCCCCACTAAAAGCGCTGCTCAGTATCATGGATTAAATCTGCAATATCGTCGCAAGTTAATCGCTTTAGTTTTTGGACACGTTTAATCATTTCAAAAGTTTACCGCTATTAAATACTTGTTTAGAAGTTTGCGACTCAAAGTTTAAGTGCGACCTTCAATCAGAAGGATTACTGACATTAAATCGCCTCTAAAACATTTAAGATTCGAGGAAAAAAAGATTTTGTATTAAAAAAAGATTTATTTAAGGGCTATATTCTGTTTCATACTCAAACAATTCATTTGTGATTTTAATAATTAATAGTAAGTGCGCTTTAATGGTGTCTAGAATTTTGACAATTTTTAGGGAAATATTTATTTTTAGAAAATTATATATTTAAAAAAATAATATATTGATTAAGAATTGCTAACGAATAGAAAATAGGAAAACTGTTTTCGTTGGAAAAAGTATTTTCTCCTATTTTTTTCGATTTCCGATGAGCGCAAAGTGACTTTCTATATAATATCGCTAAAATAATATCACAAAAGTGGTATATCTTCGATCAAATCCAAAGGTAACGAAGCTCTGGGCGTTTTTTAAAGTCACCTCAAGCGACTCTCTTTGTAACCGTCACCGGAAGCGCCAGCAGCGACGGAAATTAATCTCTGTAATGAAAAGACGTAGATATATTGCTTGTGTAAACGGGACGAGATTGTAGTGAACGGAACTTTTTCCTGACGGTTGTATCTCGGGTTTGTATCTCTCGGGATTTTCCATTCAGCGTTAAGTCAGACGTTTTCTATCGTATACTCGTTTCGATTTTACTCTCATACCAAGGAAGGTAGCGACTCCCGCGCTTCCTGTCTGTCTCTCCTTCTTCCTCCCTCGAGCAACTTTCGTCTTGGCCGCGCGAACTTTTCACCGAACTTTTCACAGCCGAATAAAAACAGCGATGTTGACTGCATTGTGTAGAGAGCGCCGGAAGCACCCGACGAAAGTTATCGCAACTTTCTTCGACACTTTTATTCACGTTGCGCGTACACGCCTTAATCCACCAATTTGCACCGGCTTCCCCGCAATCTCCTGTTATGTGGTAATAGTGCCACTTACACAATTATAATTATCTAACGGCGTTATCCGGAATTTAATCTAAACTTTTATATATTTTTATTTCAATTGTCTCAAATTATTATTATTTTTTTGTAATATCTGAGGAATTTAACAATTGCGTATCGTCAAAATAATATAAGTAATAAATTACAGATACATAATATATATATATATATATATATATATATATATATATAATATATATTATAATTTCTTTTAAAATATAAATACAAGTTTAGAGAAAAATAATGAAATGTATTAAAAAGTATAAAAACGTTCACATATGTACTTTTAACATACACGCATCTCTCGTGCATAAATAATATTAAGTTAAATAATATTGAAAATAGAAACGAGGAGAGACTAAATATATAACGCTATTAGTGATAGGAAGATATTAATAAAGTGTCAACATGGTTTTTTTGCAATTCTCTTCCTGGCAACGTATAGTGAAGTAAACAACGCGGTTGGCATCTAAAAGCAAATTGCAGAGAAAAGTACTCCTATACTTTATCGTTCCGGTGACTCTCGCGAGGCGCATTGTATTATGCATACATACATTCAAACTATGCATTCGTAAACTGCACTTTTTTCCGATAGCGCGCTCACAGGTGGAAGGTCAACTTAAACTCGCCACTTTAACAAAATGCCATATGCTGCCACACGTATATGTATAACAAAAGTATGATAACATACTCTACGTTACACGCAAGTTTTATCAGGTTTTCACAAATACATGCGATGGAAATTGCATAATTTTCTGCATCGCGAAAGAACGTGAAATCAATTACGAGTAAATGCAATTGTAATCGAGTTACGATAAGTTCAATTTTCAATTGGTTTCAATTTGTTGCATACAAATAACTTAATTAAGTCTTTGATAAATGTACGATATAAATCCTTTCTTTAATATAATATATCGCGAACCTCTCAATGTGATTTTAATAAAATGATAATAATAATTGGAAGGAATCGAATAACAATTGGAGGTAGAATATGAGTTAGCAATTTCCTATATCTACCTTATAATTTTATAGAGAGGGAAAGAATAAGTTATAATCAAAACGTTTGTTTTTTTTCAATTTAAGGGACATTTAATTCTTCTTCTGATAAAATATTTTTCTATGGAATATAAATTAGTAGAAGCTCTTTAATTCTTTTCTAAATTAGTAAAGTCGAATATAAAATTCTCGTGTTTGAAGAATTAATATAACAATTAATATAAAAATCTTCAAAAATAAAATCTGCATTCTCGTAGAAATCGTTTCGACTCGCAACAAGATCCAAGTCTCCTAACTTCCTAAAATCATAAATTCTGTTGCCGAAAATCAATCGATCGCATTCTCCTCGACATATATCGACAGCCATCCCAATGGCCAAATCGCGAAGCGAACATTGATATTCGTAGGTGGGTCAGCTTAACGTCGTCGATGCAATATCGCGTGTGTTTCCACTCTCGTGAACTACATCTGAACGAGCCTGAACTTGTCCGCTTCTATTTGTCCGCCGGTAGACATACGTCGCAAACATATAACTCTGTTCTCTTCATCGGGGAATTGTTACCACATTTACCTACATTTTCGTATGTGCGTTTGACGCTCGTATACACACGCATTTCCAGAATTTCTCGTTTGAGCACGGATGGAGAAGTCTTTTCATTCACTCGCTTACCCGCGACAATAACATCCGTCCACGCAAACTTCCGCGACCGCGACAGAGTCATCCATTTCTTGCAAGATGGCAAGATTTTCGGATACGAGCTATGGTACGCGCGATTTGAACGACATTCTGACACAGCGCGAAAAGTTAGTCGACAGAAAAAGCCGTGAATGATATACTTCGTCGCGAGTTGCGCCGGCAACTTTTGGGTTAATGAAGCTTGCGTTAGCAACTTCCTATATCCATCTTATAGTTCTACGGAGAGGAAAATAATAAATTACAATAAAAATGTTACGGTTTTTTTTCAAATTTCACATTTATGACATTTAGTGCTGTTCTTCTTTTGATATAAAGTATTTTCCTGCAGAATAACGTATAGATATTAGAAGCCCAAATTGTTTTCTAAATTAGTAAAATTGAATATAAAATTATCGTTTAAAAAATTATTTAAAAATCAGTTAATATAAAAATCTTTATTAAAAGAAAAACAAATTTTTTGAGCAAGCATGGTAGGGACATTCATAAAGTGAAAATTAATGAACGAAATCTCGGATTTTCTATAAATAATTCCATTCTCGTAAATTAAAATATTACGATATCGACATACTTAAGCTCCTCGATAGAGACATTTTAATGAATGTTCTTCACGATAATTTAAAGCATACGTTTCCGTCATTGTCAGCACTTGAGCCATATTTCAATTTTTTGTGCTTTAAGCTTTCACAATCTGCTCATGATGCTTAACACAAAAAATGATTGAAAGAGTATCTTTCCTCGGCAAAGATTCTCTTATCGATTTCTCACGTATGTGTCTGTAATTAGGTCAAGAGAATGGAGATGTCTACGAATCAGATCGGCCATTATCGAAATCCATTGCTCGTAAATTTATAGCGATATCATCAGCACTACTGCTCATGCCAGAACCAACGACTGTCGATTAGCGGATTAGTATTATCTTCCTCGTATTATCATTGGCGTAACAGAACTCAAGAGAAGGTAAAGGTTCTTGTGTTTACGATCAAAGATATTGTACCCAAGTTCGCTCAGATCGCGTCATCAACAGTTACGTCGTGATCGTTTAACGGCGATCTCAATTTTATGTCGATCCCATCTACAATATCCTGTAAAGATATGAGAGTAATCGCTTCTCACAATAGCATGATTCCCGAGTGATTACCGTTAATATTTTCCACCGTCTTTGATCAAATTTAGATATTAATGTTATAGTTGAAATGCCGAATAACGAATTTCAAACTATAGCTTCTTAAGAGTGCTTTCGAAGACAACTCAAAGTACACGTTAAACCCTCGAAAGATACTAGCAGTTATTCCCGTTAATGGCGTCAAAGTTGATCGAAACCCTTCTGACTATATTGTAAGATTAAAGTTCTGAAATGTTGATTTTCTGCTCCATTAAGCTCGGAGACCTTATTAGAAAGCTTTAAGCTTCTAAGATTATAACAAAAAAAAAACTCTCTTTACATTGACAGGTAGAATAAATAATTATATACATTATTATAGGCATATAATTATATACATTGCTTTTTAACTTTTTTTTAACTTTTCCATTAATAATGTTTTAAGTTTAGATGTTGCACTTTGCAAAATCTTGCGTATTTTTATTTTGTAGTAATACATTTTTTTAATACGTGGATACAAACTTATCATTTTTCATTTTTTCAGTGTGCTCTTTTTTATATTTCTCAGTATATTACAATTTAAAAAGTATTAAAAGATTATTTTATAAAGACAACGCATTTTTTTTTGCCACTGAAACTCTCCCAATGGGTACACCTTGACGTGGTGGGAGAGCTTAGTACCCGGAAGGTTTATCCTGAAGGGGAAGCTAAGTACCCAAACGCGCGGTTAACTTTCTCTAAGCCTTATAAGGCTTGATTTATCAATATTTTTGTGCATTTGCAATTGCCGTCGACGGTCGCATGATTGCAAAGTCGTTATCTCGAACCGTTAATTGAAAGTGCGATTCTCGTGTGAAATGAAATATTGGTACGCGATTGTGAAATTCGGGAATTTCGTGCAAAGTCTCGCGCGTTCGTTTTTTTATTGTATCGCGGATATTTTGTCACGTTTTAATTATTTTCGGAGTACCGTATAAAGTTTCACGGGCGATTGTCATTTACCGTATTTTCGCGAGTGCAGTGCGCGAATAAAACGAACCTAAGGAGAAGAAAAATGACAACCTGACAACCTAAAAGGAGGAGCTGAGAAGGCATCGAGCTTCGGCGAACAATCTTGAGGTAATTTATCATTTTTTATTAATTTATTATTTTGTTAGTATATTATTTTTTAATCTCGCGCGTCTATTTCCATTCGTTTAATTAGTTTGCTTATTTAGATAATTTAAATATGAATTTAAACCTTTTATATTTTGTAATAACTGTTATCTGAGAATTATATATAATTATTCTATTCAATATTTTTATGGTTTATTGTCATATATTGAATTTTATACTCGATGTGTGCATTAATAACGTTTTGAAATATTAATTATTTTTGAAAACGTTTCTATAATTTAGTTTTATATTTGTATGTTACAGATCAACGTAGAACTCTCAGCGTAGTCATCCGCTGCATACCGGTAAATCAATAAACTTTTTTTTATAAGAACGTCAAATATTAAATAAGTAATATATGTATTACTTATTTAATATTTGACGTATATATATATATATATATATATATTTATTTAATTAAATAAGTACATATATATTAATTGTTTACTGTGTTTCTACTTGCTATACAAATTTGTATATTTATTTATATATTTGGCGTGTGCTTTTTATCTATTTAAAAAATTAAAACAATTTTTTTATATCATATTGTTTTATCCTGATATATCTTTAGCGCTTGACTGCTTAGATATTAGATGACAATTATTGACATAATTAAACAGGATACCTTTTAAATATGCGACTAGAAATGCGTATAGCAAGTAGAAAAGATTAATGTAGTTGAAAGGGAATTATTGAATTATCTTATCACGGTTTTTATACACGAGATTTTGACATGTCTCATTCGCACTTTGAGCAGTCCACGAGTCACAGCGATAGAGCGGAAAATACATTTGTCATTTAATTAAATTGTCGGGCGGTACAAAAACGGTCGGCGCTTTCTTACTATGAATGTCACTTACTATGAATAAAGAATATTTTCGCAGTCATAATTACGTGTGAGAGAATCTTGGCGTGACATTCTCCACCGAGTTAGGATTATAGACATAAGGTCGCGATAAAGAGACCGCCGAGAAGAACCGGGAAAAATGTCGAGAAAAGCCCAACCCGCATGCTGCTTCTCGTAAAAAATTAAAAAACTGCGAAACGAGAATGAGTATAAAGCAGAGGCGTACGTTTTCTAAGTGGAAATCTCGCTTCTTAGAGACGCGAACGAGAATTTATGGTTTATGGAGCGTAATAAGTTACGCGCGAAGATTGAAAAGTACGAAGGAGGGAGGGGGAGAGAGAAGGGCGCGTTATGCTTTATGAAAATGTCCGGCCTAGTTTACGGCAGGCGTTAACGAAACAACCGTGTGTAGATGCGTTTCGCGTCATATCAATAAATAGTCCGTTGCAACAATGCAGATTATATTGCAGTTGTCCAGGATACAGATTACGTGCTGTGCGAATCAACAGCGCGTAGATTGCTCGTAGGTACAAGAGAGCACGCGTGATAATAAAAATTAATGCGCTTCTCTGGTCAGTTTATCTGCATTTTTTTATTACTTTTTCTGCATTCATTCTGCGCGCATCGTTACATTATTCCGCTCTACTGCATTGCTGCAACCGACGACTATACTTCTCCCTCGCAACAAAAGGCCATCCAACTATACCGAATAGAAATATGACTTGAAGAATAAAATTCGAAATACGAGACCGATCTATAAATCTCGCTGTCTTTTCGATTTTGAAACAAAATTAATGAGAAGCATAATCTTTTAATCGATGATTTATATTTTTTACTGTCGATGACGCGGTTCCGAATAATTCTTTTCATTCATTTGTGTTAGAAATGAAATAATGACAAGTATACCTACAGGTAGTAAATATGTACACTGAGAAAAATATCCGGTGAAAAGGAAACGAATGGATATTATACCGATCACTTTAATCGGAAAAAAAGAAACCGGTCAGATATCCAATCAGAAAATATCGATCGATCGGATGAGAAAGTTCAAAATTCGGGACTTTCCGATTAAAGTGATCGGTATAATATCCATTCGTTACCTTTTCATCGGACATTTTTCTCAGTGATATGCATGAATACGTCGACTGCTCGAGTAGAAACGCGGATATCGTAAAGCTGAAAGAGATAGCGTTATGTCATACTCACCGGATTGTGCTTTGTGCGTGGATAAGGTGGGGGCGGGCGGCAATCCGGCGATGCTACAAAGTGTCTGCCCGCTGCCGTACTTGATGCTTCTGCAGTGACACGGCGTGGTGGGCGTCGTCAGCCCCTCGTTACCCCTGATGGCAGTCCCGATCACCGAGATCTCGTCGAGCTCGTGACCGCTGTCGTAGTGCCATAGCCTCGTCGCGCTCGTGCTGGCCCCGCCGACGCCGACGCCGCCGTCGTCCCCGGCACCGACGTCGGCCCGACCGCCACCGGTGCCCCTGCCTCCCCCGCTCCGGCCCCTAAGCGACTGCACCAGCCGCTTGGCGCCCGAAGACATTCCACGGAGGTGATCCAGCCTTCCGGTCTTCGTTTCCTCTTGTCCTTAGCCGAAACCGCCCGAATACACGCCCGGGGATATCCACCTGAAAGATCGATCCCATGCGCTTGTTTTCCAGTTTTGCCGGGTAATAGATCGCTGCGCAAGTTCTGTCTGTTGGAAGAGAGAACTTTTAAATGCAACTCGCAAAAATGATTTATATTCACGAGATCGAACATAGCCAGAATTATTCATAATAACTTCTTACGTTTTTTTTTTAAATTTTTTTCTACGCAAGATTCTTCTTCAATACGAGATTTTATGATATGTCAATAATAAATACAAATATTTGCAGCACTTTTATCAAGTACAATGTTTTTTTATTGTATTATGGTCGAATAGAAATTTGTAAAACATGGACTACTTTATTCGCGGCTTTGCTTATCTAATCTTTTCCGAATGCAATAGACAGAATTTACGCAGCAGTCTAGTACAATGTAAATTTACTACATCCTAATCTCCGCACTAATTAGGGATCTGTCGATAAGGGGTCTAATTGGTGGTTAATTTCGATTACTGGTATTTCGGCTGACTATATGAAGGAATATCTACTTATCACGCATCGAAGATATAAATGATGCTTTTGACAAAAAAATCACTCGTAAAATTGAAATATACCGGTTGGCTTGAGGCTATAAAACAATTTGGCTCGTGAGATAAGAGTTTACTTATTTTCAATTTCGACAGACATTTATGATAAATGATCAGGCAGAGTCTGATGCATACATCTCCTTTAGTCTCTTCTTTTCCGCTTTATCGATCTTGACTATGAAAAAGTAAAGTATGATGCTTAGAAGGACGATAACTTTTGATAATACATGGTAGACTGTTTTCCCATTTTTCGGCTTATACTTTAATGAAAAAAAATGGTTTTAAAATACTTCATGTATATTATAAAAAAATTTCGAACATTATTACATCTTGAGAATAAAGAAATAAATAATAATCCCGACACAAAGAATTACAAGATACGACGATAACGTAATACTTGAATATTAAAATATATTAGATGACACAGATCGCTGACTTTATGCCGTGTAAACACGATATTCGCACACGTAGGAAACATACAGTACGACTTTAAAATTGAGAGAGGATTACGAAGATTAAAGTTAGACGTTAAGGGTTCGCAAACCCTCTATAGCCTTTCCCGTCCCTACAGGACGAGAACCGATAAAGCCGGGTGTCTGGAATATGAGAGGGGAGATGCTGGCGTTTGACAGATTGACGACGGATCGCACTTACCACGTGGTGATAGCCGCCGCGCAGTGACAGCTCTGCTCTCTCTTTCTTTGCTGGCTACGTTTACCGCTAACGGTAACGCCGCGCACAATCGCGACCGGTGTCACCGAGCGTAGCACATGATCGCTCTCTCTTGATCCGCGGTACGATAGGGCGCGCGATTCACACGCCAATGATGCTCCGCTTCCGGTGCCGGCTTGCCACCCTCGCGATTGTCAATCGAGTCGCTTGAGCGTTCGAACGCACCGACCCCGGCAGATCACCGCGGGAAGTCGCGCGACGATCGGCGGCATGCCACGTAACCCTCGTCGAGCACGTCGCCTCCGACGCCGCTCGATCGCACCCACGATCGCGCTAACGATCACGGAGGCTGGCGATCCGGGCGGCGCACTTTTTGCGAACGGTGATCGACAGGCGTACGAGGCACCGCGAGACGTCGCTCGCCACGCGATCGTCCGCGATCGTCCTCCCGTCGAGCGACATGCCCCGCGATTACGTCGGTCCCGATGGGGGGTCGATCGCCCGGTTTCACGACGATCCGATTTCACGCGGCGCACCCTTGGCACTTTTGCACCTTCCGCGACGAACACCGACGATGGAGGACGGGGCCACCCGCGCTCGCCTCTCCCACGCGTTCTCGCTTTTCCCGCGGCCGAAGAATGCCCGGTGGCCCGATATTGACGCCGACGAACCCTCTTTAAGGGACGTGGCGACGTGCAACAAGTGTCTCGAGCGATGATACCCGTCTCACGTGCCGCTGCTGCGCCTCGCTCTCGCCTTTACTCCGCATTCAACCGCTCTCGCCGATGCACGCGATACTCTTTGTTCGATCCGTTGACAGATTCGTCCTCGAAGCACGATGTACAGCGCGACGGTACCTGGGAAGAACAGAGAAAGTTTCGGTTAATCGGTTATTCGGGGATTCGCGATTATTGAAAAATGTGTCGAGAAATATATAAGAGTTTAAACGCGGATGTATCGTTGAATGTTTGGAGCGCGTGTGAAGATATTATTCCTGGAGGAAGCTGATGCGATGGGATTTTCGAACCCTTTGTGAGGTACCTCTTTAAGGGTTAAACACTAAACGTTGATGGAGAAGTAATGAGCAGGAGATTAGGATGCGGCCTGTCGAAATTGCTGTTATCGATTATACCGAACCTCAAGTGCGCGAGGAACTTCATACGTTCGTTATACTCGGATTAATCTCAAGGGAATTAGAATGGCAAATCGACCATAATGACGCGACATATCTCAAGCGAACATTTAAATTGTTCTTAGTTAGATGAAGAATATCTTTATCATTTTATAACATGTTAAATAATTAAAGTAATGCATTTTGCGTTAAATTGAAGAATACTATTGATTGTGACATGAGAGGGAAGGAGATTTCAAAAGTACAATGAAAGCGTCATAATCAATCAATTATTTTGTAGACTTTGAAAAAAATTAAGAATATCTAAAATATTATCAAATAAAGTCATATATTAAATTGTTTTTAGTTAGATGAAGAATATTTTTATCGTTTTATAACATTTTTAATAATTAAAATAATGCATACAACTTTGCATTAAATTGAACAATACTTTGATTGTGACAGGAGAGGGAAGGAGATTTCAAAAGTACAATGAAAGCATCATAATCAATCAATTATTTCGTAGACTTTGAAAAAAATTAAGAATATCTAGAATATTATCAAATAAAGTTATACATTAAATTTACATTCTTTTATAGATATTAATAGTGAATTTTTCATACGGTATTCTATCTAACAGCTGCAAAGCTAGAATTTTTTAATTAGTTTTTAACTAGCTCGTCGATACATACATGTACGCTGTCAAATGACAAGATGATGGATGCCTCGTATAATATTACTTATACGCGCGTATATTCTATAACTATGTGTGACACAATGATATGAAAAATATATACACGAGCAAGGTTGGTAAAAGGGAAAAGAGGATTGTGAATGAGAGAATGGACCGAGCAGAATGTAGGGACATTGAGTTGTCGCGTATAGTCGACCTGACGTATTATTTTATCCTTTTATTCTCGCCCTGCACACGAAAAGGACACTTTGACACAGTATGCTCGATCGTTTGACATCGCGATGCGAAAAAATGCCCCCACAATATTTTATATTAACAACGAAAAGGGATGATTTCTCCTCGCGGAAAAGACTTCTATATCGTTTTTCATCGTGTATCACATACGTTTTGTCGGGAATTTTTTTTATTCTTTTACTTTTTATCTCAAGGATTAACATAAAGAAGGAAGATGCATGAAAAGGAGATAGACTTTAGGATAACCGTAAATAAATCATCATGATATTCTCTTATTCACAGTTCTTTGATTATTATTAAGAGAGATCCTACATGTACTCGGCAATCTATTTATTGAGATATCTCGATAGACAACGAATCTGAATTATCCATTATACTATTTTGCATTCTTGTGGATCGATCGATAAATAATTAGGCAGCGGGAGCGTCGCGATGCTCGATCTTGGAGCAACGCGTTAAATTGATTTCGCATAACGAAGAACAATGGCTGTCGCATACGGGATGAATATTAGGAGCTCTTGCACAGCATCGGATAAATTATGTAGGCAACGAGAGTCTTGTTTTATTGCCGGTGGAGTCGTCGTGCCGCTGCAATCCGGGCGTAAACTCGACGGGCTCTCTCGTATGGAAATTGTAACTTGAAAGTATAATATGGAAAAAAATATCCATTGGTGGTCTACGTTACCAGGGAGTACGTTTGTTTTATAAAAATTCCGGTATAGAAATTTGAAGTGTATTTAGCTTCAGGAAGTGACAGTCTCTTCGAAGCCTAGAAATTTATTAGGTCGCGATGTACGACACGCTTTTGTATAAATCTCTCGTCCTTTAAAAAATTTACTTTTTAAAGATTAAAACAAAAATCGCAGGCGGATTGCGTTAAATATTATATAAGGACTGCTGTTTCGGTAGCCAAGTTTACTGCTTAGTTTGTGCAGGCGAGATAAATGCGACTTGAATGAAATTGGAAACAAAACAGACGTTTCCATCTGCCAAAATAAATTTGAAGAATTTTAAATGAAAATTATATTTATAACAGATATACGCGAAATATATAGACTAATGTAATAAATGTAAATTAATATTTCACGTCGCTTAGTTGATTTTAAATAAATAAATGAATGTGCTCAATGATACTCATGTAGCAATTTCATTAGTGCTTAATCTTAAACTACTCCAATGTCTTAGTTAATGTAAAGTTCTGTATAAGTACTTAATCAGAATGCTGTATCTGCAGCGTAAGGCCCCGAAATACTTTTCATAGTTTCATAACGATGCTTACGAGACTCATTTGTTATGGGCTTAACAATTGCTGCACAATTTATACAACACCCTTCATGCATTAAATTGTGAAATATTTCAGAGGATATATTAGAAAAACTTAGGAGCTTTTATTAAATTGTACAGCGTGTGAGCGTGCGTGCATATGTGTGTGTAAATATAGATTAAATAAAGATAATGTTTTTTATTTAAAATTCACATCAATTAATAATTATTTTAAATAATTAATGTTATTTTAATTATACATATATATATATATATATATATATATATATAATAAAAAGTAAAATCAAATATATATTAATTATAATATATTAATTATAATAATTATTATTATATGATTATTGTTTTAAATAGAATATTATATCTCTGCTTAATTTATATTAATGTTTATAAATGATGTTTACAATTGTTTATAATGGAAAATAATGCAAATTTTTAAATTATCTGTTCAGTGATACTTTATTGTCTTATTATATTATTTCATGTTTATTAGTGGACCGATGCATAGTCGATGCAAAACAGCAATTTCCGGTCAAAATCTGGTTAAACTTTTTGTCGAAATTTGCAGAAAATAATTCGTGCACCATATTTCTGTTGAAAATATTCCACAATGAAAACGGAATATTCGTCGTTTGCAACGACCGTCATAAACTGAGAGACTCTATTTCTCTGATATTTTTTGTCAATCGTGTTTGCGATCGGAAGCGCAATAGTAGATCGATATCAAAATGAAATTCGTTTCAGCGAGATTTTCTACATCACATCGTTCGATAAAAGCACGAAATTATGTAATGATGAGTTTTTGATAATTACATACACACATATACACGCATTTAATCCATTTCAGTTGTTGCGAAAATTTGCATTTCACAATAAAATTATGAAAAATATTTTGTAGCTTTTAAATAAACAAATTTTACATTTTAGCAGCCACACATTTTATGCAGGAACATTAAGTCTCAAAATTTCGTGTGAATTTTACCAGAGTTTTGCTGCATGACTGCACAGTATTATCACGATTTATAGGGGGAATTTTAATGTATCTCGAAGGTACATCGACCGGAGCGAAGGGGTTGCACTCTGCAACATCCACGACGTATACGCTCTGCGGTTGTAAATAGTCGAGTCCTATTGTCACCGACCATAAATGCAGATATTGCAGTCTTTCACTTTATGGTCGATGCGTCTATGTTAGCGAGTTTATGTCCACGTCGATTGCAGCGAAATGCAGCGTTGCAATAGAGAACGAATGACTCGGCTCGGTCAGTGATCTACACGCATACATATCGATGAATTGAAACCTCCGGAAATCTCCGGTGGACGAAAGCAAGGCAGACGGAATCGTAAACGATTGGAATTTGTCGCGCACGTATAAACGTAACGAATTTTTTACGACCTATGGATTTTACCGTTAATGGAAGTTTCAATTTTTCGTTCGCATCCGTTAATACGCAAAGGTATGCTATCTGGTGCGTACGATTGCATGTGTAAGCGATATTTTGCTTCGAAAGTATCAATTATAGTGAATCATTTACGGATCCTCGATTCACACATTCGGTCATTTAAATTTAGTAACGTGTGATCGCAGCGGAAATAATTCACGAATTGATCTCCAAATTCGCCGCGAAACAGTATTTCCGAATGCATAAATAGCTTTTGAAAAATAGCGTTTGAAAAAGAAGAGCGTGTACAGAATACATTAGTTCAGATAGGGGACAAACACGTAGGATTTGGAAATTATTGTATTTTAAAAAGCGTAGATAAAGATGAGGTGAAAATTGCGTTAAAAATATTCCAACTCACGTAAAAAAAACTACTCTGTTTTTATTTGCTGAGAGAGAGAGAGAGGGCGAGAGAGAAAGGATGTTGAGAATATCTGTTCAAAGTTGTATCCTTATATTATATTTTTGGGACGAATTATTTTGTAAATAATGTTTTAAAATTGTAAAATACTGTTAGTCAATCCGAAACATATGATAATGGGCGCGAATGTTTTACAATTCGATGAGTCGGTAGTTTTCTAAAACAAAAAAAAAGAGAAAAAAAAAAGAAAAAAATGCAGAAACACGTATGCAGGGTACAAACGTTAACGACACATTCTGCGTGCTCACTTCGTTTGTCGAATTGATCGAGTTTGTTAAATTAAACTCGATATACAGTGTTGAAGTTTCTCATAGGTGCATTTTTACGCATCAAACTCAACTATAGCTCGCGTATCAAAAGTCACATGGTGCGGATTGCAAAATAACCGAGAAGAAGAAAAAAAATCTGACGGAAACAGAGAGAGAAAGAGAGAGGGGGAGAAGAGGAGTAACAGGAATCGCGTGAATGGAATTCCGTGAAAATCGAGTGGAAGCGGTCAATAGACTAAGTGAAAAGAGTGTCGACTATTCTGACGCGATGCATCCAATGTAACCTCGGCTGAATATTGGTTGCAAGAGGAACTTTAACTTTTACTTGTACAAATATATGCTATGTATACATGTATATTGCATTAAGATTAAAAATACTCCAATGAAAAATATAATTTTAAATTA